GTTGTCAGTTATCTTTCCTACAATATATACATATATATTTATATATATATATATATATATATATATATATATATATATATATATATAAAGTAATGGCTACCGGCAAAGAGTTCGAAAGTCATAATAAAGTAAACATGCCTTTCGTCAGAAATCGAAGCTGTATTCCCTTTTTTCTTTATTTCCGATCTGTCGTTTGGTAAACATTAATTTAATTTCTGTTTATTTTCCTGGAATTTGGTATTACGACTAAATATACACGATTTATATCGTTCGGGCTGTTGTCCTTATTTTTATTTTCACGACGTTTCGACAGTTGTATGCTTCGGCCTTCGTCAAGAACATCGTAAAGCGGTAACATGAGGGGAAATAGAAAACTCAGGGTCAGCTGACCACACATGGAAGAAAAAGGGAGATCACCGCCCCCTGTGGCATGAGGTTAAAATGAAAGACAGAGAAAATCATTGGAAAATAAGAAAACTTAAGGAATCAGCACATATGCTAGGCCACAAAAATCTCCTAAGCCGGCCAAGCATAGAAATGAATATAATATGGGAACCAGTAATAAAAAAAAAGTGCTAGAGAAAAGCAATAATAGCAACAAAATTTCAATATGAGGTCTGGCAAAAAATGTTACTGAGACATTAGGTTTATAAATCAAACACTGATGTCCATGGCCCAGTGGATAAAAGGGTTGATTGATACAGAGACTTGACCCAAAGAGTTGTGAGTTTAATACCTGGCTACTGCAGTGATCAACAAAAACATGGAGAGTTGAGTTCAAGGAAGATAACTGAGACATGCGAAAGAGGCATGACACGTGGAACTAGAACAATTTACCTCGGTGGACGAAATGAAAGGTTCAATTCAAAATTCCAATCTCTTGAAGAAGGCCGGAGCGTACAACGGCCGAAACGTCGTGAATATGGAAGATGAGGAAAACAGTTCGAACAGATACTTAAAGTAGATATTGAAGGCAAGAGTCGGGGAGGAAAAACAGTAAGTAACCTACATAACGTGCTTGTAGCAGCTACGAAGGATGGGAAGTTAAGGAAAGCCATGATTAACCTATCCAACAAGACGATAGAAGAGGAACTTGGAAGGGATAGTAAGTGGACAAACATTGCACAGATCTACAAATGATAAGAAGTGGCGGTAAGTCATGATTAACCTGTCTCTAATTAACCTATATAATAAGTGAACAAACACAAGAGCTACAAATGATTTTCTTCAGAAGAATAGTGAAGTAGTTTCTTTTTATAGTTTTTACTTTTTGAATTCATACATATTCTTCCCCGAGACTGACTGCTGGGGTTACTATAATATTCAATTAAAAATAGTGTTTCTGTTAGGAAACAAAGAAAGGAGTAGTCAATTTCTATGTAACATTTATCCTCCGTTATGACAAGGAATATGAACGATGAAAGGAAGACTTGAGAAATATAAATATGGTTCTAAAGATGGATAATAAAGATAACATAGGGGAAATGAGAAAATCTTAAAGAATCTGGGAAAGAAAAGGAGATTTGCACTTTGGATCAGAAAAAGATTTGTTGAAATTTCTGGGATACATAATAAGAAAAGAGTGCTCAGAGAATTTAACACTGAAAGCACATGCAATCTTTGCATTTCATATAAATGGGAAACATTAGCCCGAGAAAGCCTTATGAGGATCGTAAATAGATCATTGATTAATTCATTTTTTATGGCTTTATCAGCACTTTATAGGTTAGTTAAATTCAGAAAATATTTTTCGATTGTAATAGTTTTTTGGGGGCGATAGTAATAATTTAAATATTTTACTAATTTGTCCATAACTTGGGGGAGAGGTGGATTCATTCTTTTTCCAAGGGTTTTTTTTTTCGCGTAAGTGAATATAACAAATACAACTGAAATTGAAACTCGGTTAACAATTCTGAACCATTATCAATTTACGCCATCTGCACATTCAAATCTACAGTGCCTGGTATTCCCACTTATTCCTCATCTAGGTTCAACGTTGCTTAACTTCGGCGATCGTATGGAACCGGTGTTTCAATGTGATATCGTCATAAGCCGTAAATCATTCACTGATAAATCAATTATCTATATCTTTCAAACAGAAGATGCCGGTGTGTGTGTGTTCCTGCGTGTATGCTATTTATACATTCCAAATTTCTCGATCGATTTCGATGAAACTGTATGAAAATTTAGCAAGGTAAAGCAAGACCAAATTTTCAATCTCCAGAGCCCCACTCCTCAGGATTTGGCAGAAAAATCAATAAAACTGAAAGTTTGCAAAAACCAAAGCAAAGTTACACGTGAACAAAATTTTTACTGGACGAGCTGATGTTTTTAGCGCCTAATGTAAAACATAGCGTCACACAAAAAAATTGCAAAACACTGTAGAAAAATCGGGTTTTTCGTTCTACTTAAAATAAAAACTTGAATAACTTCTTCATTTCTTATTTGATTTTCTTCCAACATATTGCAAAAAATTGCCATCATGCAAGAATAACGAAAAACCACAAAAAAAAAAAAAAAATCTGTTCAAAAAGCCCGTTTTCCGGTGATAACCCTAGTTTTTCATTCGATGCTTTCTAAATTTGCCATGTAAATTACATATGGCACACAAATTGTCTTGCGTGAATGTTTGGTTTAGATTATTTCAGTTAAGTGGACGAAATCTGCAACAAACTAGGTCCAAAATCGGTTTTTGCCATTTAGCTAATAGTTTCTTCATATGATTCCATCCTAATTTGGTATTCGGACAACCTTTGACGAAAAGATTCTTTGAGAAAGATTACTGAAGCGTTAAAAGGGAAAAATTCCCGAAGAACCTCTTATTAACCCCAGCTTTACAGTAAACGTACGAAGGAAGTGGAGGAGGGCGTTCATGTGTTTGCACTTGCAGTTTAATCAAGCTCTGACGCTTCATCTCTGTTTTTGTTTAATTATTAGATTTGTGAACAATGCTATTTGGAATTTATAGCCATAGGAAATTTACTGAATATCTAAAACATTGAAACAATTTAACCCCGAGTAGTGACCACAAAAGAAGACTTTATCGATGGAATTCCTTTATTAAGAACAGTGAAACACCCGCGAAGGACATACTGTAAAAAAGATGAAGCGAGGAGTAGCTTAGTATACCAACAGATGATGAGTGCAAGCGGGGACGCTGACAGACAATTCTAGACAGGGGTTGCGAGTATACAGGGTGTGCAGTTATACAATTGCAACCATTTACACACAGGCAACACTGGGTGCCTCGGCTAGTATCATATATGAAGAAACCGGATATTTATTGGATTAGATGATAATTTATAAATTCCTAATCGAAATGTAAACAATTCTGGGGTCATTTTGTTTTGCTATGTTCCGTGAAAAAGAGCCGAGAATTTTAAGAATTTTCAATCCTTTTTTTTTAAATAAATCTGATAAAGAAATTTTTTAAGTTGATTAACTCTGAGGTCGTTACGAAGTAATGCAGAGGAACGTTCAAAGGGAAATAATTTCAAAATTTCAAGATTTTAGAGTTAAACGTAAAGAAAAAGCAATTAGATGAAATCCTTTCAAGGTACGATGCAGATGTTTTAAATCGGTATCACGCCAAGCAAGACAGTAGAACCATTCAAGTAAAAACAAAATACTTTCGAAATAATTAATTAATTAATCAAGAAAACAAACATAAAAAAGAAGAGGCAGAATTATTTATGCAAACGAAAAGATGGCAACTCTCATCGGTGAATCTACTGGCCGAATAACAAGAAAGGAAAAGAAAGGCGTATGTAATGAAATGGAAACAAAGATAATATTAATGTAGAAAGAAGAAGAAGAAGAAGAAGAAGAAGAAGAAGAAGAAGAAGAAGAAGAAGAAGAAAGAGGAAGCGGAAAAGGATAAGAAGTTGGAGAATAATGAAAAAGGAGGAAGAAATGAAGGAGGTTAAGAAGGAGGGAGAAAAGGAAACGAGATAAAAACAAGAGAGAGTAGAAGGAGGAAATGAGGAATATGAAGGAGTAGGAGGATAAGAAGAAAGGAGGAGGAGGGATCGACGGAAAGGAGGAGGAAGCGATGGCAAGAAGGAGTAGGAGGATATGAGCAGGTGAGGAAGAAGGAGGAAATGTCGGAGGAGAAGACAAAAAGAAGGATAAGGAGAAGAGCAAGTAGACGGAGCGGAAGAAGAAGAGAAGGGAAAGAATGAGAAGGAGGATCGTTTAGAGGAGGTGGTGAAGTGTAAGAAGTTGTAAGGTGAGAAAAAAGAAAAGCAAGGAAGTGAAGGAGGAAGGGAAAGAAACGGAATGTAAAAGAAAGGAAAGGAACAGGATGTGAAAAAGAAAGAGGAGGAGGAGAGTAGGAGAAAGAAAGGAGGAGGAAGAGTAGGAAGAAGAAGAAGAAAGGAGTAGGAGGAGATGAGGTGAACAAGAAGGGGAGGAGATGTTGATGATGATGATGTAGAAGAAGAAGAAGAAGAAGAATCATTGAATGTAGCAACAATGAGGCAGAAATATAAGCGAAAAAAATGGCGAATAGAAATGGCAAATATAAATAAAACTCCGAATGCAATTTCCTTGTATGAAAAATGAAAAAAACAAAGAGAGGTAATTGAAGATAAGATAAGAATCAAAACAGCAAGCAGAAATTTGACATCATCATCATCATCACCACCACCACCACCACCACCATCATCATCATCATCTTCATCAGTATTAGTCCCTCGACTGCTTCAATTGTCGGAGGAGGTGGGGTACCTGAATGCAGAAGAACCGATCTGCTGGCGGTGGCTCTCAGCAATTCCGCCATTTGTCGTGTCCGTCCGTCCGCTCTTCCTCTAAAAGCAACAGAAGGCACGAACGGATCCACGTCCCAATGGTTGTACCCTGCGTTGGTAGCTTGATGATGTTTGTCCCTTCCAGTTGCTCTCTTGTCACACCCATCTTACAGTGAGTCAATCTGATGAGGGTTTTGATGCGAGCCTACCGACCGACCCACCATCGTCTTGATCTGATTCTTCAGTGGGATTTCAGATAAGCTTGGAGGCGCCCGTCACCTCTCTAAGTACAAGAAAGAGGACAAGAAATCGGACAAAATTGAAAGAAAGAAAAAAAATAAGAAAGGAAGTAGAATAAAAGCAGATACTGGGAAAGAGAACGAAAAGGAGAAGAAAAAAAAACAGCAAAAGCACACGATGAAAAAACATCGGAAAGAAAGAATATATTCGATTTAATAGGAACGAAAATCGTAAATACAAAATGAATAAAATGGCAAAGGCGAAAATAAAAAAAACAAAAACAAAGAAAAGTTTAAACCGAAATGATTAAAAGCATAAATAAAAACGTTACTTAAAAATAGTAAAAAAAAAAAAAGACACATTTAATCAATGTTTCAAACCCTTTTTAAGTAACGGTACATCGAGGTGCAAATGAAAATATCACGGCACACAGCCAAATTTTAAAACGTTATGAAATAAAATCATGGATTTAAAAAATACACACACAACTATAAACTTTATTTCAATATTTCTATTCAATAATTTGTGAAGCTTATTTAGTTAGTGTCAAACTTGTGATTATTTTTTCACGATTTCGTCAATGTTTGGTCGAATATACGGTAAACCGATTTTCATTTCTTCTTCAGTTGAGCGTAGTCTTTGTCGCTTCTTATTTTTGATGTTATTTGGGATTGAGAAGCCTAATTCATATAAATGAGAGGTAAAAAATTGCAATAAAACTGATAAAACCTTTTATCAAATGTGGGATATTCCTTTTGTATTGAAATCCAAAATATATCAATGGCTACTGTCGAATGTTTTATTTTGAGCCCTTTTAAAATACTTTTACAAAATGAATATTAAGACAAAGTATTTAAAATAACATAATCGAAGAATGACGAAAAGAATTATTTGAAAAAGTTTGATAATTATTGATTTATTCAAATACTAAAGCTGTACCATTACTACTTCCACACACACACGCGCACGCGCGTGCGTGCGCGCGCACACACACACAAACGCACATACACACATATGTATGTCGTGACAACATTTTCGCGGCATATCTAAGAGGATCGCGCAGTAGACTCGTTTGACAGGACACGTCGGGCCGTTGAGAATCACTGCATTAAAGGAATACATGCCTTCTAAAAACTCAACGAAATATTACAAAACGGGAAGATTTATGCACTGATCTGCTATGTAATATCAATTACAAATATGGCAGTAAATGGTGCACCTCAACTTTCTGTAATGGTTAGCAAGCTTGTCTCGCTAGAACTATTACGACGGAGTAGGGAGTTCGATTCGCATTAGATAACCTATAATTTTGGGCTTGTGTTACATCTAAACTACGCTTAGAAAATCCCCATCAATATGGCAGTGAATGCTGGATAATTTCCTCACAAATCAAGAGGAGACTTGTGGCAACAGGAATGTGATTCTACAGAAGGATGTTCATGATACCATGAACGAAACATAGAAACAATGGTAACGAAAATGGGAACAAAAATCAGAAACAGTTGAAGTTTTTGCGACATATAATGAGGAAGAAGTAAAAGGGGAAGAAAAATGCGCCTTGTTCGTAGAATCAGTAAGAGGCACATGATGAGGAAACAAGGCTTGGAGAATTTGATATTCACGATACATACTAAAAGCAAGTTGGGCAGAAGGTAACCCACTTAACAAGCTTGTATATGCGAAGTTGTGGAGAGCCATAGTCAACCTACCTAAAAAGCTTGTGTTATAGATGGCAGAACAGGGACTAGGAGGGATAGTAAGTGGGCAAATATTGCTTAGAGCTACATAGGATAGGACGTTGTGGAGAGCCATGATCAACCTATGTAATAAGCTTTTTTAAAAGCATTTCACCCCAAGTAGGGTGATTTACAGAGAGTGAAAGTGAGAGAAAAGACTGTGTATAGAGGGGGCATTGAGGAAAGGATAAAAGATGAACGGGATTCAAGTCAACAAAAGATGACGGTTGATGCTGCATTTAAATTTTTGAAAATTGTTGTTTTCAGGGAAGCATGTAAGAGGAAGGGAGTTTCACAATCGGGGAGTGTGAGAAAAGAAACTGTTGAAGTAGAAGTTTCGGTTATATTTAACTATTAAAATGGTTGGGACCTAGATGCCAATCTAGTAGCACGCTTAAAGTCGGGGCACCAGGGACAAAAGCTCGTCAGAGCAGTTGTCATGAAAATATTTGTAGAAAAGACAGAGGGAAGCCACATTACGTCTGTGAGAAAGTGTCTGAAGTCAAGATGCCAGGTCAGGATCGATTACATTACAGATCCTTCTTTGGATTTTATCAAGAACCTCGAGATGAACAGCGGAGGCACCAGATCAGATATGTCAACAGTATTCAATGCACGGACGAATGGTAGATTTGTAGATGGACTCTGACGAGAAAAACCTTCTGGCACGACACCAACTTTCATTGCAGTTGATACAGTTATTGATTCGATTTAGTTGTTCTACCTCAAGTCATTTGAAAATATGAGGCCAAGAAAGTGCAGCCAGACCAAGAAAGTGCAGCCATGGTCGAGCATGATGGCAGAAGAGGAACTGGGTAGGATATTAAGGAGGCAAACATTCTAAGAAACAGGAAAATGTGCAGAGCCATGATTGTCAACGTCCTTAAGAGACACGTTACACAAAAGACGAATAATAGAGTATAAAATATGGCGGGGGTGGGGGAATAAGAAAGAAACTTACGCATTTTAAGATGGCATTAAAAGTTTAATTGGTTTGACACTTCGACGCAGTGAAATGGTTTACATGCTTGTCTGGCTACATAAATTACGGCTAAGTAGTCAGTTCGATCTTCACTGGGTGCTCCATATTCTTAGTCTTGTGCCACATTGATACTTAGAAACTCACCATAAGAGATTATACGGAACTATTAAAAGACAAACAAATTCGAAATTAAAACCATATTGGACAAATGTAGACGAAATGACTGATGTACCCTTTCTGGGGTTCGAACCTAAAAAGGAATTCGTAACATTCGAAACTGAAAAATAAAATAAAAGTCTGTCTTCTTGTATTTCTTTAATTACTCTGAGTGACTGCAAGCATTCTCGCGCATGCGCACTAGGGAAACACGCTCACAAGCGCAGAGGGACGAAAGGCCCAACGGTTATCGGTGAAAAACGGGGAGCTAAGGACAAACACGGTGTTGACAGAAACCCTGGTCTCTACTAAATTGAATACGTGCTTTTAGTGTCGTCAGTCATTGTCAGAAAAGATGGGCATCCACATTTGGTTGAGCCAGCCATCTTGTATTGGAGAAAGTCACGAATTCAATTTGGACTTGGACACTGTTTTGCATTGATATTTGGCAGATATTAGCTATTCATTCGTTTACACGGACGTAGTGGGGGGCAACGTTTGCAATTTTGGGTGGATGCAGCTAGGGGTGCATCATATTGGTTAAGCTGAATTCTTACGAAAGAAAGTTCCCCCATTTACTTAAATCGTATTGACAGAGATTCATACTACAGGGGCTTTTAAATAGTTCTACTATCCGTTCCCAAAAGCTAGTTAAGCAGCGCTTCTTCCCTTTGCTTATCTTACTCGCAATATAGCCTGTGAGTATCAAAGTCTCCAAACCCTCATTCCTGTCTTTAGCTCTTATTAAAGTTTATCTTCTTCCATCACTCCCATCTGCTGTTCCACCAGCCTTTCACAAATCTGGTCAGGTAGGTAATTGACGACCCACTTCTGCCTTTGGCTTCAGTATGTCTTGTGAGTGTCACATTCTCAATCTTTCCTTCCTCATTAAGTTTCTAACAAATTTCAACCGTCTCTTTCTGATTATGAGTATAAATATTTTTTTGTTTCTATTTTCTTTAAGACTTGTTCGTTGCTGAAGCGCTGTAGAACCACATCTTTGTTGCCTCCAGTCTCCTCTTTATCTGTGAGAAAATTGTCCAGCATCCACCGCCATATAGGAAGATTGATATTACATAACACCATTTTCTTTATTTCTAACGAAATTTTCTGTTTACTGTTTATTTTGCTATTCCAATGTTCACGCAGATTTCGGTGTCATATTTTCGATCTTACGTTTATACACTTCGCAGATATTTAAACTTATGTACTTGTTTGAGTTTGGTATTTTAAATTCATTGTTCAAATCTTTGGAATTTTTTCTTGCTGACTACCATACATTTTAATATCCTCATTTTTTATTTGTAATTTTTTAGGTAATGTATCGAGGAACCAATATCTTCAGATAAAATGGAAGAGAAATTAATGAAACCAAACAGTAGAATCATGAGTAAAAATGTAAAGAAAGCCCCCCAAAAAAAAAAAAAAAATCATGATAATATTTAACAATCAAAACCAAAACAAAAGAAAAAATTGCTCAGTATAACACCGAATCTCTTAAAAATGAAAAGGTAAATTTAGAATCCAGTAATAAACATATAAAGTCCAAAGTGATGCCAATAAATCTTGAAGAAAACAACATAGGAATCAAATAACATTATCATATCTTCATTATCATATCTTCATAGTGCGTGAGACCGTTCCAAGAACATCTAGAAGGAAAATATATATTACCCATGGGACGATAAGAAAGAAAGAAACAAAAAGAAATGGAATAAAAAAAATACTAAATAATTGACAAAGAAATTAAAAATATAGTTAATTCTTTGAGAAACAAATATCTCCGTAACAATTTGGAAATGATATTAACGAATCCAAATAGCGTAGAGAAAATGTTTTAAAACATAGAGAAAAGCTAAAAATCAGAAGAACATCACACAATCAAACCCACGTCAGAAGAAATGTCCTGGTCTCAAAAAACATTTTGGATCACATTTCAACCCTGACCACATTCAGAATATGTATGGTTATGGAGATAAACCTCCATAACCATACATATTCTGAAACTATAATATCCAAAATATAAGTATATTTCATTTTGATCAAAGGGGATAAACAGGGGGGCTCCACCCCCCACTTATTTTTTTTTCCTTTTGATTTAAATAAAAATTAAATTTGAAGAAGGGGATGACTCTTATCCAAAATATAAAAGGAGATAGCCAGAAGATGGAGGTCATATTGCCAAGATCAGTGAGTAATATTGAAAAGCATCATTTTCCTCCACAAGTTATAAGAATGATATAAAATAAATCATCATTTTTTTACAAAACAAGATGTGTGACACGCAGCAAGGCGCGTTTAATACGACTAGTATACCAACAGAAATCCAATCATTACACTGACATCTTCAAACATAAACAATAATGAACACTTGTGATGAAATTAAGAAATGTATTAAAATACTAAGTAATAATACATAAGCGATAATCATTTGACTGAAGGCTGAACTTTTAAAAATAGCATACCCCTCCCCGAATGAAAAAAAAACTTTAGAATTCAAAGTGCATCTGAAATTAGTGAGATTTATTACGAAAAGGAGTCCTCAAGACACTCACACGTATATCTCATTTGGAAGCATTATCGTGAAAGTATTAAAGTGCAAGACCATCATGCAATGCACCGTTGAAAGTGGACGTAGGAGAAGACGTCAACGCAAAAACTGGCTTGACAGTATAAAAAAATAGACATGTATGAATAGACCAGAATTTCTGATGGCGGCTGTTGATAGAAAGTTGTGGAGGAGATTCAATATGGCTTCTACATTTGGACCCTCTTCCCACGATTACAAGTGTCAAGGGGATGATGATTATGATGATGATAACTAATGGATATTTTATTGACTATACTCTTACTGTTCTTTGAAAGTGAACTCCTAACGACTCATTTTGGCTTTAGTTCTGGTAAAGAGTATAATGATGGCTTATGTGCTATCAAACAACTCCACTAATTTACATACGCCTTCTATAGATCTCACAGCAGCATATGACCACATGAATATAGACTTTCTTTTCTCATACATCAGAAACCGCTTTGCAAATTCTGCCTCCATTAATGGAAAATATTAACATAAATAAATTTAAATTTCTCTTCATCATTGCTGTTGTTATCATTAAGTTTCCAGCCTTCCTAAGATGAACTTTTTATTTTAAGCATATCACCCCAAGCAATGCGTGAGTGCCACTAGCATGCAAGGGGTTACAGAAAGTGAGAGTAGAAGTAAAGAGGGGTATTTGAGGAAAGGATATAGAGAAGGACGGTGATCAAGATCAAGGCATTAGAAAATATCGATTGACATTACATGTGCATATTTGAAAATTATAGCTATCAGGAGGCAAGGAATTCCACTGTCGGTAAGTGCGAGATAAGAAGCTGTTGGAATAGAAGAGACGGCTGCATTTAACCGTTTCGATAGTGAAAGTGTGGGATCGAGATGCCAACTTAGTACCACGCTTAAATTAATGCAGTTTAGGAACCCGTGAAAGTAGCTCGTTAGAGCAGTTGCCATGAAAATACTTGTAGAAAAGACAGAGGGAAGCCACAGCACGTCTGTGAGAGAGTGACTGTAGACCAGATGCCAGATTAGGGCCTATCGCATTGAATATCCGTCTCTGGATCTTTTTGAGGACCTCGAAATGAACAGCGGGGGTACCAGATCATATATGGCAGCAGTATTCAATGCAAGGACAAATGGTTGATTTGTAGATTTGAAGGATGGACTCAGGTGAGAAAAACCTTCTGGTGCGACACAGAGAAGCAACTTTCCTTGCAGTAGATGAAGCTATTGAGTCAGTGTAGTTCTACAGAGAATTCTGAACTGAACCCTTTGTTTAATCTCGGTTCACTGCCCATGTTTAGGCATAGAACAGTCATAGAAGGGTTCACTTCAGACTTGACTTAGGTTACTCAGATTAATATACAGGAAGATACAACGAACGATACCAAAAAAAAAAAAAAAAATTAAAAAATAGATGATTAGAATAGGCCAATATAAATAGTGTATGGAATGATAATTTCTATTCGCAGCATTTTAGACAGAAACGTAACGAAATATTTCTAAAATCAAGTTATTCAGATTCTGTTTATCTCCAGACAGGTTGGTCGGATAAAGTTTTATTGAAGAAACTTCACAAACTTTCCATTACTTTCTTGCGTAAGATTAGAAAAAAAAGATCTCTTTCTTTTTTTTTAAGGAAGCCAATGTGCTGTGTTTCCAAAATGTTATTTATTTTTTGTAACTTATCTTTTCAAATGCATAAACATTATCGTCAAATTTGACTTTTCATCTTCCTTTTGAAATATTTTCGCGCAAAATAAACAAAATTTGAATAAATAAGAGAGAAAATAAAGAAAGAAAAATAGAAAGAAAGAAAAATAGAAAGAAAGAGATAAAGAGAAAATAATGTAACTTTAAAGATTTTTAAATACAAAATATTTAAAATTTTAATTTCTGAAATCTGAACATTTATTGTTTTAAAAATGACACGAACCCTGATAAATACACAGAATGTAGTTTACGGTATAAAATGCCGATTCTTTTATCAATTTTCCGTCTTTAAATATCATTTATTTTGTTAGAACGTTATTCATTTTAACTTGGGGTGTACGAAATGTGTGCATTTTTAATATATAATATGTTTCATTTTGGGTTTGTACGCAAACCAGTCGTGACTGATAAACAAACATCCATCAGCTTCCACTGCTTACGTCATTAGACACGTGACCAACCTAAGGCGAATAGTAAAGGTTACATAGCGTTGGAAATGCCAAATGATACGAATAGCAACGATGCAAACAAACAATGAAAGACACGTATAAACATATATCATATATATACCGATGTAGCTGCATATACATATGCACGCGCACAAAAACGTTGCACACAAAGGCTGGAACTATGTTAAGCTGAGATGGAAACTAAATGCATAATTGTGTAGGCTTTCATCATGCACATCAACATAGCGAGCCATCTATGAAGAATTTTATTAATTTGAAAATTATACCCATAAAAATGTGTGTATAGATCAATTAAAATTATGATAGACTGGTGAGAAACTGAAATCACCTAACATTCATGCAATTGATTGATTTGTTTTTTACGGCTTATCAACCGTTTGCAGGTTATTTAAAGCCAGACAATATTTTTTAGATTCTAAAAAATGTTTTTCAGATAATAATGGTTTAGTGATACAAATCTTACTGATTAACCCATAGCTGGAGGAGATGGTTATTTGTTGTAAGTGTAATGCAACCAAGGGAATTCAGGCCGTACGTTCTGTTACTGTATATATAAACGAGTTGATGCGTTCAAGACGTGATTGTAAATTTTCGTTATATACATGTTGCTCCTTAGTCCGAAAAGAAAACAATAATATTGTATGGAATATGAAATTAAGCACATTTATTATTGCTACTATATTTGGTTTGGAGCTACTGCTATATGTCTCGAGATTTTTGTCAAGATCCAAAGAGTCTGTAATCGGTCCTTACCTGGCATCTCGGCTTCAGTCATTCTCCCACTTGCGTGTCGTGGATTCTGTCTATCTTTTTCTATAAATATTTTCATGCCAGTTGTTCAATGAACCTTACTCCTTGGTACTTTGACTCTCATGAATTTAAGCGCACTGCTAGATTGGCAGTTAGGTCTCATTGTATTACTGCTGAAGCAGCTAGATGCAACCGTAAGTTCTATTCTAATGGTTTTTTACTCTTGCACATCTCTCTTGTTGAACTTTCTTCTGGCTTCTTGCTGCCCTGCCACCGACAATTTTGGAAACTTTAAATGCAACATCGATAACCAACTGAATCCAGTTCTCTTATTGTCTTTTCTTCTCGCTGACATCTTTCTCGTTTTCTTTCTTTAGTATCTTGAATGGGGTTAAACGATTGAAGCTAAAATGAAGTAGCAAAATGAACCATGCAAGATCCCGTTGTATGCTACATTCCTTCAAACTACGCAGTATTATTGTTAAAACATTTCTACAGCATACGAAATAGTATAGGAGTCATAATAATCAGAAACACCAAAAATATTATATATTATGTCTGCATGTCTATTTCGAGCAGTGTTATGGCTTGGTCAGTCCTCATATATATGGTCAGAGCGGATATTTGAGTGGGGATCAGTCAGATATTTGAATGTAGATCAAGCGTATATTTGAGAGTTGATAACGTAATGACATTGCCCAAAATCGAGTCACAGACATTTTAGACACATGACGCTGGATAAAATCATTTAGAAAAGACCAGGATCAAGAAATTATTAAATACACTCATATTATTTGCAATTCATTCTAAAAGTTTGTAGGCCTTTGTTGAAACAGAGCTGTCATTCCTGAATTGGCGGTGCCAGGTGGCAGTGTCTTTGTTATAATAATGCGGGCTTCTTGTAATGATGCTTACAAAACCGGGAGTAAACACATCTACTCTGTGAGGGAAAAGAGCATATTAATTATACATGGAAAATATATTAAAGACTCAAATGTAAAAACTTATATTTAGGACAATGTTATCCCAGCCATGAAATCATGGAACAGTTTACCTTCAGACGAGATATAGTATTTTTTTTTAATTATTTCACCCCAAGGAATGTTGGAATGCCACAAGTAGGCAGGTGCTTGCAGAGAGTGAAAGGGAGAGAAAAGACTGGTTATAGGGGAGGATAAAAGATGAACTGCATTTAAGAAGACAGAAAATGGCGATTGTAAGACGTAAGTTTTCAAGGAAACAAGTAAATGGAAGTAAATTCCACAGATGGGATGTGCGAGGAAAAGAATCTATTGGAGTAGAAATTGCATTTAGCTATTTCAACAGTAAAAGGGTGGGACCTATTTGCCAATCTAGTATCACGCTTAAATACTTAAAAATAATTGGAGCACCAGGCACAAAAGCTCGTCAAAACAGTTGCCATGAAAATATTTGTAGAAAAGACAGAGGGAAGCCACGTCATGTCGGTGAGAAAGTAAGTGAAATCGAGATGCCAAGTCAGGATCGATTACATTGCAGATCCTTCTTTGGATTTTGTCAAAAACCTCGAGATGAATAGCAGTAACATCAGAGCAGATATAGCAACAGCATTCAATGGCCGAACGAATGGTTGATTTGTAAATGGGCAAGATGAACTCTGACGAGAAAAACTTTCTGGTACGACACAGCGAACTTGAAAAATGTTCATAAATTGACAGATTCTTGAAGCTAGGATAAATTTAGACCAATGCCGAAATCCTGCGACTGTTTACGTTGAGACTAGATATAGCAGATATGGATATACACGAAAAGTACCAATTATCAGCTTGCTAACCGACTTTGATTTACATTTTCTACTTTTAATCGAAGGAAATGGGAAAAGGATGTATCATCACATATTATCATCTATAGTGCAGGCTGTATTGTGCATATGTGTTAATATATAAGTATATTATTTGTTTATATGCTTATAAACAGTTTACTCTCTAAAATACGTTATAGTATAAGTATTTGAACAAATACACTCTAAATTTTATTGCCTAATTGCATGAACCCGTATGGTTTTTCAGCAGAATATGATTCAAATGAACTTACTATTTTAGAAACTCTCGCAATTGCCAATGTGTGTTTGCATCTTCAAACTCCATCGATTTTGGACAAGATTTTAGAAGTATATGAGATTTCCAACGCAGAAGCATAGAATCTGACTAAAATCTATGTCATGTTAAATTGGCTGAGTGTGTAATATTCATGTGATTACGAGCAAAACTTTCTGTTTGTTCTTATGAGAGAAAAAGACATTCAAAAGTATTAGGAATAGCATTGATTATGAAAGCAACTACAATGTACTATTTCTCAAGCGAAATTTTCGACTTTCTCTCATCATCTTCAATGTATACACATATATATATATATATATGTGTGTGTGTTCCGGTCTTCTTCAGGTGATTAGAATTTCGAACCGAACCCCTTTATTTCGTCCAACGGACGAAAATAGTTTTAGTTCAACACTGTTGTAGCCAGGTATTGAACTCACGACTCTTGGGTTTACTCACTGGATCTAAAAAAACGTCTTTTCCCACTGGGTCACGTTTCCTTGATGATATCTATTCATGAGTTTTTGGTGCTTATAAACTTAATCTCTCAGCAACCTTTTTTAACAATGCTCATATTGCAATTTTTCTGTTATTGTTGCATTTTTTACGAGAGCTTATATTGCAATTTTTGTTGTTATTCTCTCTTTTCTATAACATTCCTTACTAATGATTCTCATATTAATATGGCTATGAAGATAAGGATAACAGCCCGAATAATGTAAGTAATTATAATATCTCATCTCAGTGATATAGACAGACATATACATGATGATTGTCACTTGTCTGCAGAAGACGACCATCTCTTCAGTTGCTAGCTTTTTTTTTGTGGTTTTCATTCAGAATTCTATTATTTTCATCATTTATACCTGAGATAACGCTCTGCGCTGGACTCGTAAGTGATTCTTAAGGACAGATTCACTTCTAAAACCACTGTTATGCATGTGGCAAACATAAAGTTCGCCTGTGTTACCCCCATGTTGTAAACTTGCCTGTCCCTGTATACAATCATGAAATGTCTGAATCCCGCAACAGTCTTATAAACCTTGTCATCAAAAATCGCACAAGTATCCTGATGGTCATTCTGGTAGGGTTGCATTCAGAGGAGTTTGCACCTGGTCTCACTCTTGGGATCTCACATGACTGGCTAAACTAGCCGCCGAGAGGTTGGCTTTTCTCACAAGTACTGCAAGTATGTTGGTGTCCTAATAGTTCTGGAACAGATTCTATTTCTCCCTCCCTAATGGTGCGATTTTTGTTCTAATGCTCAATTCTCTTTTGCTCAAAATTGTTGCAGCGTTCACAAATTAACCTTCTTCAGTTCGATCTATCTCCAGCAACAATTTCTCAGTCTACAACGTTAACGCCAAGAACTTTAGGTTGCATTTAACTACATCCTTGAAACGTTTTGAGGTTTATGAGCGGATCGATTACCAGGTCTTTTGGGCAATGTGGCATCTTCCATACGTGACAGATGACCTGTCCAGCGCATTTAATTACGGAGAAGTAATTTCTCTATGGTGGCTGTTTTCGTACTGAAGGACTTTTGTGTTTGGTGTACAAGACTGCCAATTGATGTTCAAGATTCGCCTCAGGCACTGTTGGTGAAGACCTTAATATGCATTCGATAGGTAGTCCACGCTTCACAGAAATATAAAAGGGTGGTTTCGTCGGTGTCGATCTTTGTATTTAAGGAGATGTTACGGTCAGACCAGAATCTCTTTTCATGTTTTCTGAATGCTTAACTTGCTCATTGAATCCGGTAATTCACTTGTGCATCCAGTGAGCCAGCGTATGCAAAAGTGTCAAGGACCTCCAGCCTAGATCAGTTAACGAAAACGTTGAATTCTATGTAATTCCAATTTTGTCAAGTCACCAGCAATTTTGTCTACACATTAATACCCTTGGGAAAATCATGGATCCATCGCTACTCTGTCGGTTAAATAGCGGGGGATAGAATGGCTATCTAAGCCTTGGGTGGCAACCAGATAAATAGAAGAACAACTCTATATTCAAAGCCGGTAGGAAATTCACGTGCGGTCAAAATTGAGATGAGCAGCCTTCGCATCGAATCATTGTCTGTCTCTTCACTGCAATTGATCATCCATCAATTGTATTAGATTCCGCGGTACAACTGGATTCTAGAGGAAAGGTCGTGAGCGAACGTCTTAACCTGCTATAACACTTAATTACCTGAAAGAAATAAAATTGAATAAAGAAAACGCCATTTCTTGAAAGGAATACAACCCTGCCTCATAGGACAACGGAGATTATATAACAGTTCAGTACAGTTTTCATTGTTTATAATGAAATCTTCCTGTTTATCAATATTTTGCTTAGCTTTTGGAAGGCATCTTACGCCATTCCAACGTTTCTTAGATATTGAAATTTTCGTACATCGATTGCTGGCATGTTTCTTTTGGCGACAACCATACATTCTTTTTTTCTTGCGATTAATGTTTAGTTCTTTCTTCTCGGCTTTCTTTACTATCATCTGTAGGAATTATTGTAGTCTCCTTTCGGTGTCTGCTGTCAATACTGAGTCATCTTATAATGTTGAGATTGTGGCCACCAATAATGAATCCTGGTAGGATTTATAATTCTCTGGGAATAGCCTCAGTATATCAGCAGGATAAGTCCGGTAAGAAAACCTATCCTTGTCTTAAGACTCTTTCTATTTTATGTATTTACTGAATTCATTTTCAATCCGTATGCACGCGGTTTTCTCCCAGTATAAGTGTTAAACATTCAAAAACATACATTATATATATATATATATATATATATTGTCATCCACGCTCATCAGTGTGGTTAGACGCCAGGTTGCCTGTAGCTAGGATCGAAACCCGGCTGAATTGGCGTCAGTCGGATATTCTATCCTTAAGCCGTTGGCGCACGACAGGGATGAAGGTTAATTTAAGCGTATTTATTTTTAGATAAACACACAGTGACTGAAAGAACTCGATTCGCTTTACCGGAGAGTTTTGCATTATTAGCAGTAATAGTCACTGTTTACAAATTCACACTTGTATATATATATATATATATATATATATATATATATAGATAGATAGATAGATAGATAGATAGATAGATAGATAGATATAAACAAAATGTTACAGATAGATAGATAGATAGATAGATAGATAGATAGATAGATAGATCGATAGATCGATAGATAGTTATGAACAAAATAATAAAGATAGATATAAACAAATATGAGATAGATCTAAACAGAATAATATAGTTAGACAGATGTATAGATAGATATGAACAAAATTAGATAGATAGATAGATAGATAGATAGATAGATAGATAGATAGATAGATAGATAGATTTGGTTTGCAGTAGAGAGCAAAAACGGTAAACACAGGGTTAGATTAAAAATACACGCATCTCCAATTTATTCCCGAAGGGGGTTCCTTTAAAAGAGTTTGACTCCTCTGCAGGGGATGCGATCTGCATATTGCATGTCCTGCTGACTGTATGTAATATGTGCAGGCATGAAAGTAATTCTTATGCACAAAGTAAATTGCTGACAAAATCATCTATGTAATTTGTTAAACGTCATCGATCAAATTGGAAATTGCCAAATGAAAATGCTTTGAGTTCATATTCGTTCATTTTTTTGTAATTAAGAAACCATATTTTCCTTCTGCAACCAGAGATTTGTAGACCATAATTAAGTTTAAGTGTCATAGTTTATCAGGAAACATGTAAACGTAACCTTTATTTTGTCGACTTAAGATGTAAAAGTGGTTGGTTGTAAAAAGAAAGTAGATAGATTGATAGATAGGTGGCCAGCTAGCTCGCTAGCTAAATAAACAGATCTATATATATATATATATATATATATATATATATATATATATATATATATATATATATATATATAGATACAAACAGACCGATATAGAGAGATAGATATGAACAAAACTAGATAGATAGATAGATATGATAGATAAGAGCAGGTTGAGATAGATATGAACAGAACTATATAGACAGAAAAAGAAAATATGAGCAGAATATATATATATATATATATATATATATATATATATATATATATATAGAGAGAGAGAGAGAGAGAGAGAGATGAACAGAACGATATAGACAGATAGATGAGAACCGAATTATATAGACAAATAGGAACAGAACTAGACACACAGACAGACAGATAGATATTTAGATAGATAGATAGGTATGAATAGAATGATATAGATTGATACATAGATATGAAGAGAAGCATATAGACAGATATGGCCAGAATGAGATAAATCGAATAAAAAAAAAAAGGAGAAAAGGGATTTTTTAATCGGTATCACTCCAAGCAAGGCAATACAGCCATTAGCACACAAGGGCTTCCATGGTGTGAAGGAATTAGGAACAGAAACATTAGCACTAAGTAGAAAGAGAAAAAAGTAATCGTCGGGACAGTAGATAGTGATTGATATTGAATTTAAATTTTTGCAGATTAATGTTGGTCGGAAAGCATGGGGCCGGAAGGGTGTTCCACAATCGAGTAGTGCGAAAAGGAAAACAAAACAAAACATCGTCTAAAAATAATGAAAAGCCGTGTAGAGTGGGGAGCCAGAAGGAGTGGAGTGGAGAGGAGAGAAGAATAGTAAGGTGAAGTGGAGAAAAAGAGTGATGCGAAGTGCAGAGTTGGGCGCCAACTAATGTATATAGTTCGGGAGAAAGCGAGAGAATAGAAGTGAAGAGTCGGGGGGGGGGAGAGAAATAGGTTGATAAAAGGGGGAAAAAGTAAAAACGAGGTAAAAGATGCGAAGAGGGAGAGAGAAAGACTAAATAGATATGAATAGAATGGTTGAAGAGAACTGTGGAGAGAAAGAGTGAAGAGAGAGAGAGGTGGATAAGAAAGAGTGAAAGAGTGAAGATAGGAGAGAGCAGGAAAGAGTTAAGAGAGTAGCGAGTGGGGAAAAAAGACTGTTTGACAGGGGAAGGGGGAAGTCAGAGAGGCGAAGAAGAGGGTGGGAAAGAGGTGATAACAGTAGAGAGAGAATGATTGAAGATAGGAGGAGACTTGGGGAGAAAAAGAGATCTAAACAGGAGGGAGAGAGTCAGAAAGAGTGAAGAGCTCTGAAGAGGACGGAGAGAAAAAGAGTGAAGAGAGACTAAGAGGAGAGAGCGAGAAAGGAAAGAGAGGGAGAAAGAAAAATTGAAAATGGAGGTGAAAACATATGAAGAGAATGATCAAAGAGAGGTGGAAAGGTGGGGAGAGAAAGAGCTGAGATTTGGGAGAAGGAGAGAATGAGGTAAGAGAGATGGAGAAGAGACAGACAGAAAGAAGGAGAGACCTGAAGGGGAGGTAGAGAAAAACATTAAAGAGAGGTGGAGAAAGAAAGATTGAAAATGGGGGCGTAAAGATATGGGAAGAATGATTGAAGAGAGATGGAAAGGTCGGGAGAGAAAGAGTGGAGAGGAGGAGAAAAAGAGTAGAAAGTTGGAGAGAGGGAAAGAATGAGGTAAGAGAGATGGAGAAGAGAGAGAAAGAAGGAGAGATCTGAAGGGGGGTAGAGAAAAGCGTCAAGAGAGAGAGAGAGGAGAGGTGGAGAAAGAAAGATTGAAAGTGGGGCGAAAAGATATGAAGAAAATGGCTGAAGAGAGATGGAAAGGTGAAGAGAGAAAGAGTGGAGAGTTGGGGAGAATGACGTAAAAGAGATGGCGAAGAGGGAGACAGAAAGAGTGAAGAGATCTGAAGAGGAGGGAGAGAGACAGAAAGAGTGAAGAGATCAGTAGAGGAGGGAGAGAGACAGAAAGAGTGAAGATATCAGAAAAGGAGGGAGAGAGACAGAAAGAGTGAAGAGATCAGAAGAGGAGGGAGAGAGACAGAAAGAGTGAAGAGATCAGAAGAGGAGGGCGAGATGTAGAAAGAGTGAAGAGATCTAAAGAGGAAGGACAGAGAATTAAGAGGGTGGAAAGGGGGAGAGTCAAGTTAGGAAGAAGGTGAGAAAGGAGGAAGGTAAGTGGAGATTGGGGAAGAATTATAGTGAAGATAGGCGAAGAGTGGGAAGTTAAAGAGAGAAATTCGAAGCAAAAGAGAAAGAAAGGTAAAAGGCTAAAAAGTAAAACGTATAAAAATCTGCCTGAATCTTTGTTGTTCAACAAGAACGGTAAATTTATTCCATAATCCGGACATTCCTAGTCAATATCATAAAACCAAAGTTGTAGCATGTCATCTCGACCCATTATTTTCCCTACCTTGCAGGCGTTTGAGTGGGAAACCATCCTCAACCCGCGACCCTCTATTTTATCAACACATCTCACTTTCATTCCCCGTACGGCATCACGTCACGTGCTATTTCCCGAGATCAAAGGCGCTCGTAATGAAGAACGTGCGACAACGGCTACACGAACTGGAGTTGGCTAGTTAGTTGGATGCAAGGAGGGTTCGGACTTCTGCTTTGTAATAAAGAGAAACAGAAGGGTGGGACGGGGTGAAGTGCGCCAAACGCCGAAACTCTTTGGACCATGGGGCCTAGTTGTTGTTGTTGTTGGTGGTGGTGGTGATGATGGTGATGGTGGTGGTGGCGACAAAGAGAGTAAAAAGAGTCAACGCTGTTCCACAATTACTCTTTCATTTTCAATATAATAACGATTCTATCATCATCAGTAGCAGGGAGAGAAGAAGCAACAATAACAACATTAATTCACAAAATAGCGTCTGCTAATCATGAAACTGTATTGAAATAATAAATACGAATAATAGGCAAAGAATATGAAATGATATTAATGTCAATAAAACTAAAAATTTGAAAATTAAAAAGTTATAATATAAAGCAATTTGGTAAAAATCTCACGTGAGCAATATATATATATATATATATATATATCAATTGAGAATTAGTATGGGTGATTCCAAGGAGCACATGAATCCAAAGAGAGGTCAATGTAAGAAACAAAGCAATATAATAATAATAATAATAATAAGTACAGACGATCATTCGGTTATAATTTATTTCATGACTATACAAATATTCTTCAGAACGGAGATTTTTTAAAAACCTTATATTAATATTTTTCTTTTTCTTTCTTCCTCTTTTAACTTTAAAATCTTTTCCTTTCCTTTTTTTCTCATCCTTTTACTTTCGTCTGTATAAATTGATTCCACTTATTTATTAAATATATATATATATATATATATATATATATATATATATATATATATATATATAAATTAAATTCTACCGACAAGATTCGTCTATTTAATTTTGTGTTGCATTTTTTAAATAATTAACCGTTTCCTGATAAGGAAATTTTCGGCATCCATTGAGGTTCAGTCGAGAATATTTGAAGAAGGATTGTCTTTGCTAGAACTCATAGACTTCACTCGTTTAAAGCAGTTTTTTGGTCTTCGAAAGCGCTTGTATAACAGTTTTGATATGTCTAAAAGATTTTGGTCCCATGCTATAGAGAAGATCGTTTTTATTTTTTTTCATGTTGTAATTTTGATATTAGTCTTAGTATATGCACACACACACACACACACACACACAGAGAGAGAGAGAGAGAGAGAGAGAGAGAGAGGGTTACTTAGAGACCAGTGAAAAAGATTTTTTTTCTTAAAGCATAGGATTAACTCATAAGTATAATTTTCTTGTCCACTCGTCAGGAGGTTTCAGTAATTGACTACCGATCTTCTCATTTTATATATTATCAATACTGCAAAGAGTGGTAACAGCGGACCTGAGAAATCTATTCTCTTGAAAAATTGTTTTATTAATAAGAGTTTATAAATTTTAATCGAAGATCGGACTGGCGGTCAATGCGTGCTGAATGCTTCATTATAAAGGGACGGTTAATATTATTGTTACCATTACAATTGCAATCGATCACATGCATTTATTAAATCAGTCCAGAAATAATGAGGGATATGTAAACCTTGAATAAAAATAAATCAAATAAAAATAAGTAAACGAAATAAAAATAAATGAAAATGCACTCCTTCTTCAACAGGTGCATTGAGTGATGCACATTTGGATGATCACGTTTGTTTTAGAAGAGGAATTCTCGCAGTAGGCTGCAGTTACTTTCTGCGGTAAACTGGTTGCCAACCAAGTGTAAAGAGCTGTCCTGCTATTTAACCCAATGCTAGGTGAGAAAATATAAATTCATACCTTTCCCGAGGTTATTTGTAGTTCAGTGAATGCAACAAACTCGACTAGAATTTGAAATCGATTCTTCGATGTCTCATTCCGAGCCGTTATCTATTACACGAAGCGCATATCCAGGCTTACAGCATCTGATATTCCCAAGCAGTCACGCATCTAGGTCTCGATGCTGATTAATTCGATATTCGGAAGAGAACTGGTGTTTCAGTGTGATATGGCCGTAAATATTAAACTGAAATCAGTGACAATCTTATTTTTATAAAGTAGTCCTGGGAATGACGATAAACTACATCCGGCATCAAGACCTCTGATCCGGAAATTGGAGGTTTTGAGGAGCGTAGAACGACATCTGAAATGCTGTTTTCTCATGCTCTCCTTGACCTGGAGTGGTAGCACCTGTTAGGCTCCCGGCTATGGGCAAATGGTGAACCCCTCAAAGAAAAGCAAATTACTATGAAAGTATAAAAGTACATTTTCATAGTAAAATGAATATTACATTTTATAGCAAAATGATCAACAATACATTTTATTTGTAGTTGAAGGCAATTGTGTTCAAAATATTTAGATTCCGGCATTAAATAACTCATAGAGGTTGATATATTGTTAAACAAAATCAACCAACCATTTTATATAAATATATCATATTTTTCTTTCAGGAGGTCATGGGCCTCCACAACACCCTATCTTCTGTAGCTGTTAGCAGTTTTTCTCCTTTTGCTAAGGAACCCGCTCCCGTTCCGACATTCATTCACACAAGCTCGTCAGGTAAATGGTTCTCTACCTTCCCCTTTGTCACTTGCCCTCAGTACGCCCCGTGAGGGTTCAAGGCTTCCAAGCTCGTCTTCTTCATGATATGTACAAGCAATTGCAGCTTTTTCTTCTGATTCCGGGTGGACGAATTCTTTCCGTTGTCATTTTCTTTAAGACTTCCTTGTTGCTTACTCGCCCTGTTCAGTCGCTTAACGTGAAAATCTCCTTTTATCTCGTTATCTTGTTCTCCTGCAGGTATTTTTCTGATGACGCTGGATCATGAGTAAAATTTGACAAAGTAAATGTTTTACAAATTGTCTTATATATTTGGCATTCAATGGGATTCTTATCCAACTTTACTCGGATAAACATATTTAATGGATTATACCCGAGCGTACGTACGAGTTCGGTTCAAAAAGTATCGGCTCTGTTGCTATGGCAACGGAGCCATAGTACGCAGAGTAAAGCCGCTTGGAACAGAGTAAGCTTAAACGAGCATACATACTAAATTATAACGTTCTTGCTCACTTATATCGTTTATAGCTGTGCTTGGGAGGAAAGGGTGTAGAGTGTGGTCGTCTCACCACACCCCAGAAGTTCCATCAGTGACCATGACTTGTGCATCAGTGTCCTGGCTACTATGTCCCTTCTCTCGAGGCCCTAGCAGCTTTAACCCTTTCAAAAAATAAAATCCCACTTGAAAGGGACAAGATTTCAAGACGGCGAGTTAATCCAAGAGAATGCGACGCGATAGCGGTTTGATATCCCCCCCCAAAGAATTCCAGGAATGCTTCAATCATTGGAAATAACACTGGATAAACTATGTGGCTTCAGAAGGAGATTAAGTGCCGAATCGATCAGTCAGTTATGTGTCATACACACTTATACTTATGCGATCATGTATCTTTCGATACATGACTGACGAGGCAGAGTTTTTCCCGCAGTAGGCTGCGGTAGACCAGTTGACATCCAAGGCTATAGAACCCAGTCTGTTCCGCTATTTACCCATAGTTGGAGGGAGAAGAAGAGGATTCATACTTTTCCCAAGGGTATTAGCACGTAAGTGAATGTAATGGATTCGACTGGAATTCGAACTCGGCTCCTCGATTCCTGAATCCGAGCCGCTATCCATTACTCCACCGTACCGAATTGATAGGTGGTGTAATTTTCTTTTTATAGCTCCAGTCCCGATACTTTTTGATCAGACTTAGTAGGTGTCAAGTCTTCTTTCTTTCTCTCTCTCTCTCTCTTGTATAACTATAAAATAAAATAAATATATATACAAAGGGCTTCATAAAAATGAAAATCCGAATTGGTTGAATGTTCAAAAAATGTAATGGTGAAAAGATATATCCATGGAGTAAAATGGATTTAATAAAAAGAACAAAAAGCAGATAGATAAAAAAGAGAGAGAAAGCAAGAGGGGGATGCTAGGGTTGTGAGGAAAAGTAAGAGGAAGAGAAAAAAAAGGCAATTGAGAAGAGGCAATAATTGATAGGAATCCCAAAGGGCAATAAGTCATTGAAACCTAGGAAGACAGGGCTTGGATTAGTACCAAGTTCAGAAAAAGAAAAGGATTTGTTCTAGTCATATAGACATCAATTTTGCACATGAAAACTGTATATACTGAAGAACACACACACACACACACACGTATATAAGTGAAATATTTATCTATCTCTGTCTATTCAATATCTATCATTCTATTAACTATCAATCTATTAACTATCTCAGGCTATTCATTATCTATCTACCTCTGTCTAGTCATTATCTATCTATCTATCTATCTATCTATCTATCTATCTATCTGATATGTTTATATCTATCTATCTATCTATCTATCTATCTATCTATCTATCCTCTATTCCTTCAACCACCTCTCCTCTTTGGCAATGTTTTCTTGTTTTAAAAACTAATCATTAGAATTGTAATAAAAACCTAGACACATGATAGTGAATTTTTTACCTTTTTCTTTGTTCTTGATAATTTACAACAATTAACTTTCATATGTTTAGATTTTATTAAAATTCTAATAATCACTTTTTGAAACAATAAATATTGCCGAGGTGTGAAGGTAGTTAAAATAATAGCAGTGTCAAGGAAAAAACCCATCTCTGGCTAGTCATTATCTATCTATCTATCTATCTATCTATCTATCTATCTATCTATCTATCTGATATGTTTATATCTATCTATCTATCTATCTATCTATCTATCTATCTATCTATCTATCTATCTATCCTCTATTCCTTCAACCACCTCTCCTCTTTGGCAATGTTTTCTTGTTTTAAAAACTAATCATTAGAATTGTAATAAAAACCTAGACACATGATAGTGAATTTTTACCTTTTTTCTTTGTTCTTGATAATTTACAACAATTAACTTTCATATGTTTAGATTTTATTAAAATTCTAATAATCACTTTTTGAAACAATAAATATTGCCGAGGTGTGAAGGTAGTTAAAATAATAGCAGTGTCAAGGAAAAAACCCATCTTTTTTTGCAGGCACAAATATTCCAAATATTTCCGCTTTTTTTTTTACAATGATGTTCATCCTGTACAAGGCCCAAGAGCCACTAGAGGTATAGAGGTACCGAATAATGTGCACTGTTTATATCTATATTCATATATACATTCGGATAGCTTCTTATGTTTAAATATTTTTGAAAGTATACTGATTTTCTAAGTTTAGCTTAGGTGTGGCACAGGGCCAAATGTACAGGATGCCAGTGAGGACCTAACTCACTATTCAATCGTAACTGATCTAGCGAGACAAGATTGGTAACAATTACACCACCTCGAAGTGCACATGTGATTTTCTAAGCGTAGCTTTAATGTGGCACAAGGCCGAAAGTATGGGGCACCCAGTGGGGATCAGAGTCACTGTTCAGTCGTAATTGATCAATGAGACAAGCTTGCTAATCATTGCATGACGTCCAGTTACCCAAAAGTTGGTTTTCTAAGTGTGGCTTAGATGTGGCACAAAGCTAGAATGATTGCTGTGAGATTCGAACTCACTCTTCAGTCGTAACTGCTCTGGCGATGCAAGCTTGCTAAACATGTCGAATTGACCAATGTGTTTTTGAATGTATGCGTGACTACATTTGTATGTGTGTATCCACATACGTGCCTCTTTTATGGAAATGTCCGTTTCGCTGTAATCTACTGTTAGAAAATGCAATCAGGATGACGTGTTTGATAAAGCTCATATTTTAGAAATATTTTTCCGCGTTCACTTCGTAACTTCTTTATTCATCTTTATAAACCGCGCGTCTTTTCCAGATTCTTTATGTCCGACCTAGAAGTTAACAATTTCTATTTCGGTAGAGATATCAACCTCATCATAAATGATAAAAGATGATGGGAATTTTGAAATATACTGTTACCTGTCGAAAAGATTTGATTAACCAAGCTAAATGTTTTTATAATGAGGTACAGATGCCTTATTATAAAATATATATATATATATATATATATATATATATATATATATATATATATATATATATATATATATATATATCAACCGAGCCATTAATCAAATGTTGAACAACTCTTGTATGTTTTTTGGAACGGCTTTCATCCCCACTAAATGCGCATGCGCAATCAGATAAGTTCAGGTTTGTCATTGTATAAGTTGCTTTTTCTTGATCTCGCACTAACGATTCTGTTTGTATTGACATAAGGTTTTCTCTGTTCGTTCAACATCCACAGTTATTCGAAAAGATAAATCGTCAGAGGCCGAGGCAGGTGAAAATTAGAAGCCACAAAGAAAAAAGGTGTGTTATGCACACATGCTTACTCTCTCTCTCTCTCTTACACAGATATTTATCTCTCTCTCTCCCGCATGACCTCTTACCCACTCGTTTACACACACACGCACGCACGCACGTACCCACAATACTGTCTCTTTCAAACATATATTCACTCCCTCTCTCATATGCTCACACACGCTCTCTCTTAAGCATTCACCTCTTTTTCTCTCTCTTTCTCTCTTTCTCACGCACACATACATCTCTCTTTTTCTCACATACACTTTTACACAGACACACACACAAACACGAAGCATCTATCTATCTCAAAATCTTATCTACTTACTCTCTCATATACGCACACGCTCTCTCTCTCTCTCTCTCTCTCTCTCTCATACACAGACACTTACACACTTTCTCTCTGTTTCATACACATTCTCTCTCTCCCTCTTACACACATATTCTCTGGCTATTATACGAATGCGCGATACACAAATACGTATAAACTCTCTCACTCCCTCTCTCTACCCTTAACAAATTCTCCTCGTCCCCCAAATTTTTTCTCACACAATTTCTTTTTCTCATTCACGCACGAACTCACAGTCTCTAACAAACTCGAGCACATACGCACACACTCATTTTTATATACACACGCTGTCTCAATCGGGGTCCATATGGACCCCGTAGTGACCATGTAACATTACTTTGGGTCTACACAAAAAAATAGCAAATTTGGAGTCCACAGTAATATTTTAGTGGTCGATGGAAGAATTTCACTTTGGAACGGTTGTTACAACTGAGAATCGGAAATTCTACAGTAATCTACGCCATATTAAAATACTAAAGACAAAAAAAAACAAAACAAAAAAACAAAAACAATAAAAGAATATTTTGTGTCATTATTCATTCATCATGTCAAACCCTAACTTTCAAATTCAGTATAATACCACGCTTGCAATATCGACCTGTCCTACTGTATATGTCTCGGGATATCTTGTTCTATCCTGAGTCTGCAGAGACCAGGGATTGAACTCAAAAATTTAAATGCAAAGGCAATCGCCATTTTGTATCTTCTTAAACCCGTTTATCTTTTGTCCTTTCCTCAATCCTTCCTTTACTCAGTCTTTTTCTTCTCCCACTTCTTTTTCCTTCTTCTTCTTCTGCTAGTGCTGCTGCTGTTACTTGTCTGTATTTGCCCAGCTTCTCTGATCTTGTCGATTAAAGATAATTTTTACCTGATATTAGCCTGGTGTGTGTGTGTGTGTGTGTGTGTGTGTGTGTGTGTGTGTGTGTGTGTGTGTGTGTGTGTGTGTGTGTGTGTGTGTGTGTGTGTGTGTGTGTGTGTGTGTGTGTGTGTGTGTGTGTGTGTGTGTGTGTGTGTGTGTGTGTGTGTGTGTGTGTGTGTGTGTGTGTGTGTGTGTGTCAAGATGGCGTAAGCGTTACAAAATTAACAAAAAGCCTAAAGAGCGAACAAGACTAAAACAAACAGACGATATAAAAAAAAAAAAAAATACAACAAACAAAGGTAAAGTTCCGAATTGAAGTTTAGGTGGAGTAAACCTTTTTTTATTTTAAATCAAAATTTACCCAATTAAAGACCCAATGTTCAAGACAAGATGTTGTGTCTGGAGTAAGTAGGAGATGTGAATGTTATGAATATACAGGGGATGGATAATGATTGCCCCTTGACTTGAAGAGATTGCAATGTTCGGTGAAGTATCGACGTAGAAGACGTTTTCTGAGTGGCACACCCTTCTTACCAATGACCTATGGTGGGCAATGAGGCTGATTCAACCCAATGGATATAGGTCGGTCATGTTTGTAAATATCTGAGCTGGGGGTACTGAAGAATGGAACTCCTCGGAACATTTACTTTAGAGGTAATAGGGATAGACTTGCGATATATTGTCTGTGGAGAAAGAGGTTGTAGGGTGGACAATAAGTCCTTTGCTACAAGACTACGTAAAAGATTTTTGAACTCTGCCAAAAGAGGACTGTGTTATTCTAGCCCAGATATGACACCAATACTCCATTTTTGGTCTAATCTGAATCTTGTAAACATGAAGTGTGACAGAAGGACTCTATCAAGGGTGGGAAGTGAGGATTTCACAACTCCAGCCCAAATATGTCAGCAGTTCTCTTTTTTGGAGTCTAATCTAACTCTTAAAAAGATAAATCATGAAAGAGGAAGTGAGGTACTTTCTTGAATGGTTCAAGAAGACAACAGTCTTTCTAGCAACTTTAGCGCGGATCATATACATCCTTGTGCAAATTAATTGAAACAATCGATTTAGTTTCATTTCTTTCACAATACGGTCAGTTTTAGACCCACTAAATTGACAAGGTGTAATCGATTCCTATTTTTTCCTCAGATTAAGTCATTTGCATTGGTGTGCAATAATATGAATCTATTTTCGGGGTGAATGACGTTTGGCCTTGATAAATATTGCGTCATCCGGGATTGCATCAGATTTTCATCACACCCAGGCTATATTGTCTCGAATGTCGATTAGTTGTCCTACGGCCATTGTCTGCGATGTACTTTACTCCAAGGAAGCGTACGAAAATTGTAACGCTGTACGAACACAATGACAAGCCTTACCAGTGAGGAAATCAAAGTATAGACTGGCCCTGAAACTTTCCTGATTTAAATCCAATCGACAATCTGTGGTCTATCCTTGCAGATAGACTTCGACTTCGTGGAATTGATAAACGGAGTATTAACATGTTCATCTTTTATTGGAAAAATATGAGAAAAAAAGTAAATAACGGAATTATTCGTTTTGTTTCAATTAATTTGCACAAAAGTGTATATGCGTTCGACGTTAGGTTTGGGGTGAAATTGAATCTTGTAAAGGTTGGGGTATTAAACAAGCACCATCATTACTAATCTGCTTGTCATTCCTCTTAAGCCGATTAAATAGTAATAACAATAATTTTGATGATCATTAATCAATTCACGCCAAGCAAAGCGATAATGCTACTAAGACGAAATGGGTACTGATAGAGAAAGAGAATTTAAAGACTTTAGAAGGAACCTGAAACCTAATATTAAACAGGAAACAAGGGATAAAACTCTACTCCTTCTTAAAACCCGAGGAAGAGTATGAACTGAGCGAGAGGCAAACCTACCTATTATTTAGGAAAAATAAATAAATAGTAAATAATATTTCAGAGTTTAGGCGAATACGTTAGAATTATAGATTTGAAATAATCTTTAGAAGGATCCGGAAACACATTCTTAAACAGGAAACAAGGAACAAACTTTTAACCTTGTTCCAAAGACCGGGGAAGAATGAGAACAGGATGTTAGCCAAACTTGTCTAATGCTATTGAGGTAAAAATAGTAAAAACAATTCAGAGTTTAGATAGAGACGTTAGAAGCATAGAGTTAGACTTAGAAAGAACCAGAAACCCAATCCTAAATAGGAAACAAAGGATAAACCTCTACTCCTGTTCAAAAGATCTGGGAGGAGTGTGAACCGGGTAATAAGCAAACCTATCTACTATGTTCTGACGAATGGAAGGTAATGTTACACTTTTTGGCCAATCAAGTAAGATGTCGTTTGTTTAAAACCCGATTCCTGTTCTGAATATTATTATTATCATTATTATTATTATTTCTGTTACGACAGCCTTACTCTAAATGTGTGTAATAATTCAATCAATATTATTAATTATTTAAAAATATAGTAAATATGTACATATATTGTTTTTTACCGCTGCTTTGTGGAATCGACTCCCTAGAGGATGCTTCCCCGATCTCTACAATCTTAATCCATTTAAGACTATGATTAACCATTATCTTCTACATTTATCCGCATAAGTAGTTCACTCTTACACTGTAACCGTCTAACTTAATGACTCTCAGGCCTTGAAAAAGTGAAAAACATTGTAAAAAACAGACTAAATCGTATATATATATATATATATATATATATATATATATATATATATATATATATATTATTATTATTATTATCCGGTCGAACATTCGGAGATTCATGAATCTATCAACGCCAACCATCACCACGGTCCTGTATCAAGGTCGAATGGTCATTAGGGTGGCATTCTGTGTCATAACATAGCTGGTCAATGTCAGAGATTGTTGGATGACCATCCCGTCTAAATCACTAGCAAGTTCTTGTTTTGTTTGCCAGCAGTGTCTTGCACGGCGCATTCTGCGTAACGCGCATTATTGTAGAAATATCAAGGATGGGTCCATATGTGCACGACAATAACATTAATATAGTAATTAATATATATATATATATATATATATATATATATATATATATATATATATATATATATATATATATATACTTTAATAACATATATTATTTATATCTAAAAAAAAAAGAAGTATGGCAATGATCAAAAATATTCATAATAATCATCGTATAAAATTAAAAATATTTGCAATTAATAAAGTCAGTAAATATAAATGTTTATCGAATCTAGTCAAGATGGCGACTGTTTACTGTTGTTTCATATTGAACCAACAAATGATATTATTTTTTCCTCCTTCGGGTTCATTTTGTTTCCATTTTGTTATCCAGTGTTTGTTTTTGGAGGAAATCCCTTTGACTGTAAAGCTGTCACCCCAATCAAGAAAACTGTAAAGAAATAGTGAAAAAAAAAAAAAAAAAAAAATGGAAAAGTGAAATGAAAAGGGGAAAATATACAATAAAAAGGCAAATATGTGTAAAAGGATAAAAAAAAAACACAATGAGAAAGTAGCAAGAGAAGAGAGAGAGAGAGAGAGAGAGGGGGGAGAAGGGGAAAGAGGCAGAAAGAGAAAGACAGGGTAGGAGGTTGGATGAGAGAGAGAAAGGGGGAGATAGGAAGGGAGAAAGAGAGGCAAGGAAAGAGGAAGCGAGAGAAAGAAAAAGTGGTAGGTAGATAGATTAGAGAGACAGAGACAGAGACACAGAGAGACAGAGAGAGAGACAGAGAGAGACAGAGAGAGAGAGACAGTGAGAGGGGAGATGAAATGATACAATGGAGTCAAGTCACACAAGGAATTAGAAAGAGATTGAGTTAGATAGGTTGAGAGACAGACTAGCAGATAAATAGACAGACAGACAGACAGACAGACAGACAGATAGATAGATAGATAGATAGAGAGAGAGAGAGAGAGAGAGAGAGAGATATATATATATAAAAAAAAAACTGAGGTAAATTGAATTAATACATAAGTCACACAATGGATGAGAGAGATAGAGAGATATAGGTACATAGGTCGATAAATAGACAAACAGGAAGACAGACAGAGAAATAGATAGATAGGGAGAGAGATATGAAAAGCTGCGATAGATAGATAGATAGATAGATAGATAGATAGATAGATAGATAGATAGATTTTCTATATACTGCCTATGAAAACACGTGCGATACCATGCTCTGTTCAGCCGCCAACCAGGGTAGGTTAACAGTTTCGGTGGCAAAGGCGGTACTGCTACCCGACCCAAAACACACACACACACACACACACACACACACACACACACACACACACACACACACACACACACACACACACACAGGCGTGGGCGCGCGGGCACACACGCACTCATATATATATATATATATATATATATATATATATAGAGAGAGAGAGAGAGAGAGAGCGAGAACGAGGGAGAGATAGAGATGAAGAAGCTGATATAGATAGACAGATAGAAATAGAGAATAATCAAGTCACACAAGGAATTAGAGAGAGTTAGAGAGAGACAGAGAGAGAGAGGGGGGAGAGAGAAAGAGAGAAATTGACACAGAAAGAGAGAGAGAGAAAGCGGAAGAGGGAGGGTGAAATAACGGAATAACGTATTAAAACAAACCTGGTAGAAAGTCAATAAAAAGAATTATAAACAGAAGAAAAATTAATGACGTCAAAAGAATCAAATTTAAGAAGTGAATTTGTGAATGACAAAATTTTTTTTATTTCTCTCTCTTCCCCCCTCTCTCGCACTCAATTCATTAGGTTCTTATTGCTTCTTTTAGTTTCGATTTGTATTTACCATGAAAACCTTGATTATAGCTTGCGAGGTGGCAAGAAAGAAGAGTCCATTGCAAGGAAAGGTGGCCTGAGGGCGCGCCAAAAGTAATGGCGTCGGACATATTGAAAGACCAGTTGATGCCTTGATATGCGGTCATGAATGGATCAATTGTTAGCAATTCAAGCAAATGGAATCGTCAATTCCGTGTTAAAATTCGGTTCTCAGTAAATAATGTTATCTTTCTCGTTTCCAAATTCTTTTTAATGAATTGGGAGTATTTGCTTAAATGATTACTCCTACACACTGACTGAGAAGATTTCCTATTTAACGGTTGCATTTTATTTCACTCCAAAACTTTATCTCTTACTCTCGGCCAGGCTGTGGTGTAAGCACAGCTCTGTCCCCGTGTACGAAACGTTGTCCTTACGTTCTCGTGTGAGATGTATCAGAAACTGCCAAACTCCCCACCCCCGGGAGTGGATTGGTTTTTTTACTCTTTTTATAAAATCAACATTGCATCCCATATGTGAAATCTGGGTTTTCGTGTTAAAGGTTACCAACAATTATTTTAATAGATCTAACCAATTTTTGAGCATTTCTTTTTAAAGATCATGTGTAAAATGTACAGAAATACACAATTTCCACAGATTTTTCTTACAAACTGACTTCAAAATTTTACTATTTCAAGAATAAATCCAAATAAAGTTTATATCTTTTGCATTAGAAACATTGAATGGAAAATATATTCAAACCAGAATTCTAACTATGAATCACATCAAGCAAAATATGCAATGTTTTACACTATTCGATATGGGAAAACTGCAAAAATTGAAAAAGATTACAAAAAGGCTAGTCAATGAATAATATCTTACACCATTTGTTAGATCATAATTCATAAAAACAAAATTATAAAAAAAATGTGTCTATAAGACACTGCTGGGTAAAAATTATAAGATAAAATGTTTTAAATTTCTATTGTTTCTTGAAAATCACACTAAAGCTATTACATTCATCTTTTGTGTAACCACCAAATGCAGAATTTCCATGCTTCGATGAAGGGATATAGATCAACCCTACGTTTAGCTTCCGTTGGCGGTTTGGTGTGAAACTGAGTGCTAAGCCTATCCCGGCATAACATAATACTATTTTATCGTTGTAGAAATTAATAAGAATACGAAACTAATCCTTTCTTTAGGGTATGTTATTTTAGATTTTTTTCAAACGTGGATCTTCTTACGAAAAAGTGAGAGAGACTTTGTCGTTTTCTCTCTCTTTTCATGGGAATTTTCTTTGAGACTAATTTCTAAACCAACCCTCTGATGCACCTGATTTCTCGTTCGCTCTGCTTTGACGCTGAGTGCAAAGTCTTATTTGGTATCTCTTCGACTGAGACACGTATATAATGGGGCCACCACAGATCAGTTTCTGTTAGAACAATGGTCCTTTAGTGATAGTATTTCTTCGCATGAATTCCTACCGTAGGAGCTTTAGATTGCCTTGTCTCGATATATACACATCTGACACTGAATAATCTTTGGTTGAAAAAGCAAAATGTCGATAAATTTGATGGCAGTAAAAGGATTTTTGGATGCATTTTTACGCATCAAGCGAAAAACAATTCACAACAGAGTCTGTTTCTTAAGGTAGAAAATCTTAGAGAATTTGTAATTGTACTTCCAAGTTTGGGATCCAGTGAGTTATGTGGACTTTTGAACTAACCAAGATAGTGCTATCTTACTAAGTTATACCTATCAGAATTCATATATACAGGGGGGGGATGCATAAATTGTCGTCTAATTTAAGCCAAAATGAAAATAAAACTGACATCTCATTTTAAGAGATATATTTACCAAAATGCCACAAAAAATATCTTGAAATCCTAAAGAGTAAATTTATTCAATAAAATCGCCATTGGCTTCAACCACAGCTCCGACAACTTCGGAATCTCCTGTAACTCTTTTAGGTGGTCTCATTGTTTATGTTGCTGAATGCTGTCATAATTCTTGCCTTCAGTTCATCTTTGGTGTTACAAGGAGTTTTGTTGGTCTCTCTTTCAACTGTGCCCCACACATAATAATCAAGGTAGTTGCAGTCTGGGGTGTTAGGCGTCCACATGTAAGGAGTAATGGGCTCGCAGAAATTGTCTGACTGTCATGACTGGTTTCGCCTGCTTGTGTGGCATGGTGCAGAATCCTATTACCAGACATAGTGTCTTTCAGCAGCTATTCTTTTGGCCCAGGGCAGCACTAGCTCCTCAATGTACTTGATGTAGACCTCCGTGTTGAGTCTGAGAGACTGTGGGAAGATGAATGGAGGCATAACGTCGCCATAACAGTTGATCACTACAAACACCTTCGTAATCACCATAAGACTCATCCAACTCTTTCCGAATCCTCTGCACTCTCCTCATATTGTCACCCAAACACCTTGTAATGTTTGTATTGGAGTTTCCTTTCGCGAAGGCCAAGTAGTACAGCCGGTGCCCAACTGACCCTAACTCTGCTGTGCAGTCGACAAAATCAAAAACAAACAACGCACATGCACGAAATTAAAAATATAAAATGGCAACAATTTTGCCCATCGCACTCGGTACAACGCTGATAACACTCCATATCCAGTGATGACCCGGCATCGGTAGGCGGATTGCTTCCTAAACTAAAGATAGTCTTCTACCGATTGAATTAACAGCCATGTGAGTTTGTCCAATGCAAGCCTTCAAGTTGGAGCATATCAGCTATAGTTTGATCCGGAGTAGCAGAGCCTACTTGCCCCAAGCACACACGATGCATGAATGATTAACTCTCTGGCTTTGATTTGATTTGCTTTGATTTGTTTGTTTAACGCTATATTAACTCCTCAAGGTTCATTTAATGTTGAAATTTAATTTTCTTGGGAGATTTGAAGCAATAAAAATAAGATATATGTTATTCTGCTTTCACAATTGACTACATGGTAGATGATGCTCAGCTTTTGTGCATCTACATGTTTGTGGGGACACAATTACTACAGGCGGTGATGTGTGTTTTATGTTGTAGTTTTGTTGAAGTTATATTTTGGAATACAGTTTGATTTAAGAAATTGTAGAATATTATATGGATTAATGTCCTGGAAGTGTTCTTTCATGATGCTTGTTTGGTTAGTTGGTTTTGTTTAGTGGCATATCAACAACTCTATGGGTTATTTAATGCCGAAATCAAAATAATTTCAACACAATTTAATGCCTTCAACTAAATATATTCTGCAAGTAATTGTCTGCTTTCGACTACAGATATTGATCATTTTACTATTGGTAATTCTACTATAAAATTGTATTGCTGGTCATTTTTCTTTAAAATTGTATTGTTGGTAATTTTACTATAAAATGTATTTTTATATTTCTATAGTGTTTTGCTTTGGGGGGTTCATATATTTGTCCATAGCGTGGACCTTAAAAGATGCTACCATCCCTTATCAGGGTGGACCTGGGAACAACAGAAATTAAGAGGTGGTTTCACGCTTCTCAAAACTTTCAATACCTCGATCAGAGGTCTTGCTGCTGGATGTAGTTTATCGTCATACCAGTAACTTTCGGCTTTCAATTTGTATATGTAGAGGGTCAGGTGGTATATGGCGGAGCGATTCTATGATCACATTCGGTTATGGGACCTGATAATGATGACCTTTGTTTTTTTTAACAATATTTTGATTTTCTAACATCTTACGTCGCTGGAAAAAAGAAGTTCTATTTTCTTATTTTCTAACTAAATATGATTCATACACCGAGGCATTTGATATGTCTAACAATTATTATTTCCATATTCTGAATTTATATGAGTGATTCAAGGTGCATACCATGGCTATTCTCAAACAGCTTCCTATCATAATTTTTGGTTTAGAAAGGTTTATCTTCTTGGAACACTTGGTAAAGAATGTCAGTTTTTGTTCAAGACCATTCTTATGACAACTATGAATACCTATGTCATCAGCAGAGTAAACTGTCCTTTTTTTCTACAATGAACTCCACACTGTACAAGGCCAGAGAGCCACAGTTTATGCAGATATGTGGAAAAGTAACGGTTAACACTAGAAAGGAGTATATTGTAGTGATCGAGGAAGCATCGTCTTGACAATCATTTCCACAAAACAGTGGTTCGTAAGTGGAACTTACATCTCACTTTTGGAATACGAAGGGAATGAAGGTCTTTAGCTACAATGTGAGTAGCACGGCGGGTTTTGACCGTGAAGGTTAAAACTGGAGGAACTAAGGCATGTACAGCCTGTCTGAAGTTATTATGCAGATTAAACTAATATTAACTTAAGATCTATGAAATCATAAAACCCATTTTTTCTCTACAATATATGCTGTAACGTGGGTGAATGAAAGGATCTAACAACTGCTGTATAAAAGAAAATAATTCATTGTATGAGGGAATGTCCATATTGGAGATATCAAGGGAGTTTTGCAGAGATCATCGAACGATAAGATTGCTGAAAATATAACTAAGTTGTGAACTCGAAGGAAAAGAAAAGGTTTAAGTCCTTGTTTCCTCGAGATGAACGTAAACTAACGGGAGTTATAGCGAAACAACCACTTTTGACCAGCGCTCAGATCTTTGAAAAGGCTGGAATTGAGGGAGCCAAGAAGAACAAATGGTGTAGAATACTTTGTGAATTCGGATCTGTATTAACTCTCCTAGGCAACCTCCTCTTACAAAAGCAAATAGTTTTAAAACATCAAATTTGGGCCAAGTAATTCATGAAAATTAACTTTTCTAAAGTAATTTTCAAAGATGAATCTCGAGTGACATTTGATGGACCTAATGGGTAGGCCAAAGGATGGATTTTATCCAATTCAGACGAGT